AAAAAAAAAAAAAAAAAAAAATAGATTCCACAGTGGATTAGTCTGTTGATAAGTTCACAGATCAATGTGCTACAGAAAGCAGGGCCTGGTTGGTGGAAGTGGGTGACTAGAGCTGTGATCTGCAAAGGCATATTCTGGATCTGGAAATACTTCTTTCTTTCTGTCCTGGCTGCCATAAAAATAGATTCATCAGTGGATTAGTCTGTTGATAAGTTCACAGATCAATGTGCTACAGAAAGCAGGGCCTGGTTGGTGGAAGTGGGTGACTAGAGCTGTGATCTGCAAAGGCATATTCTGGATCTGGAAATACTTCTTTCTTTCTGCTTCCTGGCTGCCAGGGTTGAATAGTTTCCTTCACCATGCCCTTTCCTCATATGTTTCTTTCTGCCTTGGAGCCAGCTCTCCATGGAGGACCACTGAAACTGTGAGTCAAAATTAATCCTTCCTCTTTTAAGTCATTTATACCTGGTATTTTATTTTGTCCTAACAACAGAAAAGTGACTAATAATTTTACTGAATTAGAATGTTATAAAATAATAAAGAATAGTTACAAAAGCTTTGAACACATTACTGTATTTCTTTGTAAAAAGATGGCTTAATTAAGAGTATTGTGAAAGCCTTGACTTTTACAGATTTAAAAATGAGATAAAGCACCTTAAACACACACACACACACACACACACACACACACACACACACAGATGCATTACATTCTAAAATTTTCAAAAATTCAAGAAACAATTATCTTACCATTGTGAGGGTAAATGGATGGTTTTCTAATGCAGATACACTGGGACAATGTAGAATAATATACTACAAAAGTAACACAAAAAAATTTAAGTGACCAAAAAAACACGTGACTATTTCAATGATGTCATTATGTCTACTCAGTTTCAAAAATTACAGATGATCGTATGATAAAGGGTATTTTAAACATTGCTGTCTACTGACTCACCTGGCCAGGTCTTGCTTTAAAATTTTCTTTGACCATTCGGATTTCCAGGACTTCTGATGGATGACTAATGACCGAGATGATGGTGACTGGCTTATTGCTCCGGATACACCTATAAAGTCTTTCGGCACAGTACAGGCACAAAGGTCCAGAAATCCAAAGCCAAGTCTAAGGGAGAGGTTTTGAAAATGTACCTCAAGAAATATTTGGGTTGTAGGAATCTATATCTTGCCTGATTACTTATTTTACACATTCCTGCAACAGTATTTTATTTTGTGTCTTAAAAAATGAATATAAAATGATGAATACTGACTGAATCTCATGCAAACACAACTAAAGTACAAAAGATAAAATAATGTCAATACCCAATCTCAAATCCACACCCTGTGTAATAGGTAAATATTCATTCTTTCAACTTCTGTGCACACAAATTTATGACGTGTAAATTTAGTGTCTTTCAATAAAGGAATAAAGGCAAGCCAAAATTTTAGCTTTTAGGAGAAAAAGACTACTGTTTTTCCAATTTGATGCTTCATAAAAAATAATATTCTAGATATTTCAATGCACCTATGTATATATATAATGTCATACACAATATTCACATATTTTTAAAAATGAGATATGATAAACATGTTTAACTTACACTCACATAATATGAACACAAAATAATAGATAAATACTGAGACCATTTGAACTGGTAAGGTCCAGAAGCCTGTGAGTGCACCATTCTCCTACAAATGTACAGGATGCCTCCCTCATCACTTGGAGACGTCTAACTTACTCTTATGTTAATGGTCACTTTTAAAACCTTCTTTACATAGTTTTTCCAGAACTTCCTCCTCCCAAACTGATCATGACTATTCTAAATAACTGACATTTAGCTGAAACTGTGAAGAGTGGGCCTTGTAAAACAAGTTCTGCAACATAGGTTTTTGGGCTTTGGGACAATCAACCTCTGACCATCAGGTCACAAGTGGGTGCCATTGGACCTGCCTTTTCTAACATTCAGCATTATGTGAGGTTTACATAAGCATTGAAAATAGTGAATACTAACAGATGTGTAGGGGATTAGTATAGATAACAAACATAAAACTAGCACACTTATTCCAAAGTCACCTACAAACATATTACAGCTCTTGGTGTTTCTTTCTTCTCTTCTTAAAGCAGAATTTGATATCATTATTCCCTACATTCCCTTGATATACTTAGAGTATAAGATGTGATTTACATGTCAGCAGTTCCAACAGCCACAAGAGAAAATTAGGGCCTTTACTAAACTATTTAGAGAAGTTTTCAAAGAGCAAGCATTTTAGTTGGTAGTCGAATGCTCCCTCTACCACTTATTAGTTTGGAGGATTTGGTCAAGATATTTTATTTATGTAAGCATAATTCCCTCATCAGAAAACTGATTCAATTTTCTTTAAAGGGTCATTGTGAATATTGAAAAATATTCTCATGCATGCAGAACACTTTAGTACAGTGCACAGCCTAACAGAATTAAGTATTCAGTATATGAACTTTATTAAAATATGATGTATGATACAATGCAATATACTACATTATAATAATTTGTAGTAGTAGTATTAGCTGCTTTAGTACTATTTTATTATTCAAGCTGCTTTTCTCAATGGTTTGGAAAAATATATTTGTTATCTTTCTGATAGTAAATACTACTAGCATCGTAATATGCAAAGATTGTGTGATTCGTTTGAATTTTCTATATTCTCATATATAATAGGTCTTTTGCCTTGAACTCTCAGATACCTATTATGAAATAACTAGTACTAATGTGATGTTGAAATAGTCTGAAATATCTTATTAGGTTTGAATATGCATCATCAAAAATATGTTTAAATGTGATGTTGATCAATCTTATCAAACCAGAGACTTTGTAAAAACCAAATACAGAAATAATCTGACCTGTGGAAAATTAGCTTGAAACCTGGGCTCTTCCACACAAATCTTCACAAATGTGTTTCGGTTCAGCCCTTCCGGGTTTGAAAATCCTCCAGGTAAAGGTTCATGAAAATGTTCTGAGAGAACGTCTGGTAAGGAAACATCCGGATTGCGGGTTTGGTTAAGAAAGATGCAGCCAGGAGGGTGAGTATCTAAATTGGTTTGATACTTCAGCAGCCCTCTAAAATTAAATTAGAAACAAACAGGGAGATGAAAAAGAGACTGAAGTCAGGGGATGCAATAAAGGAAATAATCTCTTTCTCTTGCTAATTTTAAACGGCATTATCTTATAAGTGTTATGGGTGTATCACGTTTAGGATAAACCGAAGTATCTGAAAAATGTTAATAAATTCTTTACAAGGAGACTAAGCAAAAAATATTCTGGCCTTCCAAATAAACACAAACACAAAGTAGGAAACAACATATGATATCTTTCCGAGTATTTGTGAAGGCCTTTACTTCAAGTCTATTAGACTATGCAATTATGGATGTTTTTACTTCAATAATCACTGTAATGATAATTACCTTGCTATATCTCCAAACATAAAAGAAAAAAATATAGGGATCACATTCGATGTAAGCTAAGGCAGGATAAACAGGCCTGGTGATGTACAGAATATTCAACAAACAAAAATAACAGGAATAAAATATCTCCTATGATCTTTAAACAATTTATTCACAGGAATCAGCTCCCAAGTCTGTTTACCTTTCAATCTTTCTATATACAAAATCATGGGAAAAGCTCAACATGATGAATCAGGCAGGAGATCCTAAAAGATTAAAATCTCATTCTTACTGTTTCTTATTTCAAGACATTCCTGGTTATGTTTCTGCATTTTCAATCAAGGGATTAAGTAGAATCTACCTTGAGCATAGTTCATAAATGACAGATTGTACACACTGTCAAGAATTCCACTCCTGCACAGGCAGATCATGAAGAAAAAAAGAAAGATTTAGGAAAGCATTGAAAAAAATTTAGTGAATTTAACTTTTATTTTGAAGAACAATAACTTTTTTTTATTTCTAAATTTTTTTCTTTCCTGGTTGGCTAAGGTTCTACTATTTTCAAATTGCTCTTCATGTTCCCAAATAATTGACTCTGGAAGCTGCCCCACATTGGAAACAGGCCTAGGTGAGGAACAAAATCAATTGATACTATATAAATCTGAGTTTTGTCATTCACAGAGTTCTGTTTAATACAACTACTATTTAATATAATACTTGGGCAAATCATTTGTTCAGTTTTTGATTATTTGCCCAGACCTGTTGCTCAGATTGGCCATCCCAAGGGTACTGGCTGACAGAGGGGGGGTAGAAAATTTCAGGCCTTTATTCTGCTAATCATAAATTAAATATGGCACAATGCATGGAGTACTACTCTTAGTGGTCTCTGAAGTTCAGTGAAGAGTGAAATTTGGTTCAGAGCCCTTCAGAAATTTTGAAACTACTTTGGGAGTCGACCTACCTCAGAACCTGACACAGATCCTAACATGAGTCGGATCTCAGATAGTAACTGCAATAGATTGCTGCTCACCAAATTTTATATGCAGTTTACATTATTCTTGTTAGAACTACATGAATTTTATTCCTATAATTATGATTTTTGTCTCCTTACAAATGGGAAAACTATTTTAAAAGACTGAACAGCACCAAGGTGTGTGAAACGGGTGGCAGAGCCAGGGTTTGCACAGTGGTCTCGCATACTTTCCAAATTCCATACCCTGTGGCTCTCCTAATACAGATGTCAGTACGTAGGATCCTCAGGACAAACCTCTGAAAACGTTAGAGGAAACTAATAGTTTTTAACAAAGCCTCATCTCAGGAATTTTTAGAACCTTTGTTTCTCTGATAAATATCAAAACAAAAGAAGCTGGGCCTAGTGGCATTTGCCTATAATTCCAGCTGTGGATGGGGCTAGGGAAAGAGGATCACAAGTTTAAGGCCAGGCTTGTGAAGCCTGCATTTAAAAAAATCTCAGAATGTAGCTAAGTGGTAGAGCTTATCTAGCACTCACAAAGACCTACGTTTAAATGATGGTAACACACACACACACACACACACAGAAATTAATCATACCAGGTAAATATTTTTACTCCCATTACACTGATGAGACAATATAAGCTTTTCCTTTGTAAGAAATTAACTAAGTGGTAGTCAAGGCATGGTCTTCAGAAACTTGATCTCTCTCACTACAAGCACCCAGGCCAAACCAAGTAAATCAATTATTTAATGAAGCCGACATCAAAGAAAAGTATTTAAAATAAACAAGTCTGGAAACTGTGTGTGCGTGTAGGGGGGGGCATAGTAGGGACCGTGCTTTATCAGAGCTACATTTAATGATATTACTCTAGAATGTTTTCTTTCCAGATGATGATTAAGAGGCTAATAGAAAAAATGGTGCCAGGTACCACAGCAGCAACAGAACTTGGCTGTTGTCTGGATATTATTCTTTTCTTTTTTTTTTTTAATGGAATGTGCCGAATGTCTATAATTTTGTTCTGATCACTGCAGAACCTGGAAAAGCTGTTGCTGCTATCAATATATAACATA